GTGGATAGAGCGTCGGCCTGCAGACTGAAAGGTCCCAGGTTCGATTCCGGTCAAGGGCATGTACCTTGGTTGCGGGCACATCCCAAGTAAGGGGTGTGCAAGAGGCAGCTGATTGATGATTCTCTCTCATCGATGTTTCTAACTGTCTTATCACTCTTTCTTCCTCTCTGTAAAAAAAATCAATAAAATATATTTTTTAAAAAAAGGAAAAAAAAAAAAAAAAAGGAACTCCTAGCTTTTAAGGCATGTGCCAGTGAGAGAGAGTCGGGGGGTGAGGATGCGGGGGAGGGACACACACCAAGGCACAGACTCTAAGTCAGTGGTCCCAACTGGTGGTCCATGAGGTCTGAAAGGCTGGCCACCACTGTTCTAAATGACAATCTTCTTCTCCAGTGAATGATATCAAAACCTCGAAACTTAGAAAAACAGAATGGTGTGGAGAATTTCCCCTTGATCCAGCGAGTCCGCAGAATTCAGTGTTTTGTTTTTAAAAATGTCCGCATACACAGCAGGGAAAGCAAGAGAAAGAGACGAATTCCCAGAGCCATTTTCAAACGAAAGCATCTCCAGGGAGATCGCTGGTTTTCCTAGTAAGATTTCTGCTATTATAACACCGAAAAGGCCTGTGTGTAACAACAATAAACGTATTTTAAGAGTAAGACCCTCCACTCTTCTCCACCATCTTCTGAATCACCCAAGGGGGTGGGGGAGGCCAGGGATTGGTCACCTCAGACCAGCAGCACAGAGATGCTTCTCCCATCTGGGAAGAGCATCGGACGGGTGGGTGTCACTTGAGCGCTGTGAGAACACAGCACGCTATGGGAACACACTGGGAAACAGACACCGGGGTGCAGCCTCTTGTGGCTTCTCTGGACGAGGCCAAAGCCCTTGGCCGGAACCGCGCGGATTCCACGGAGCCTGCCTCATGGAAAGATCGGCAGGGCCGCTGTTTTACTCATCTGGCCATTTCGTAAGAATGCAATGTCCTAGTGCTGCCCACACAAGCTGACCGAGCCCCGGGTGTGTTACAGCAGTCGGTGACGGCAGAAACCGCCAGGTGCCAGCCGTCCGTGAGACCTGGGTGTGTGCCCCCATTCCCGAGCCTCCCACAGTCACCCCGTGGATTACACTGCTGGGAGCTCACATGTGATCGCGTTCACGAATCATCACGATTCGTCAATATGTAAGCCGTTCACGGAAGCTTCCCCAGGGACCAGTGTGGCCAACAAGCAGCAATTCATTCCCACGTGGTGAGCCCCGCCCTGTGCCAGACAGAGGACGGGCACAGAGCACCTGCAACGGCGAAGGTGGAGCCAGCGAGGTTCTGGCTGCATCGCTCCTCGGTGTGGCACCTGCGTGAGTTAGCCTGGCTCCTTAAGCTTCAACCTCAACATCTATCATATAAACGGGGATATTGGAGACCCACCTCGCAGGCTGGCCTGGCTCAGCTGAGGAGAGCAGCAACCCCCAGTGCATGCCCTGTCCTCTGAGAGGTCCTCCGCTGAGCACCCTCTCCAAGCTGCATAGGATCCCTCTCGCCACCCGCCTCTGTGCCCTGGGAGCTTTCCTTTATGGCACTTCCCAGTCCCTCCCTGTGACACCTGATTCTCACCTCTCCCTCCCCCCCGGGCTGTACAATCAGAGAGGCAGAGATCCTGTCTGACTGTCCGCCACACCCACATCCAGAACAGTAGCCCGTGCTCAGTAAATATGTGCTGAACGAATTAATAAGCTATGTTGACAAACACACAAAGCACAAAAGGAAGGAACAGGGACAGTCCCCATCCAGGAGCTGACAGACCAGCGGCATTCCAGTCGCCAGGGAGGTGTGTCACTCCATCCCGATACCTGGGCCCCCTGCTTCTGTGTTCTCGGAGCTCTGCAGGCGGTGCTGAAGAACTGCCAGAGCTGACACTCCCTGGTGCAGTGGTTGGCAAACTTTGGCTTGAGAACCATGGTTTGCAGCTCTGTTGACTAATGAGTTTGCCAACCACTGACCTAGACTCTGGATTCCAATAACTACAGGCTGTTGTTGTTCCCTGTGATTAAGCCCCTATCCCAGTGGCCAGCAAACTCATTAGTCAACAGAGCCACAGTTTGCCGACCCCTGCCCTGGTCTAATGCGAGAGAGGCTGGTCCACAGTTACAGTACAATGGGATGCATGTTCTCCTGCAGCAGCAAGACCTGCGTGTGGGGGTGGAGAGGCCTGTGTCTGCATGCCCCAAGCCCCAGGGCTGGGCACAGGTGACTGCTGAACACGTGAGGTGCCACTGAGACTGAGGACCTGAATCTTACATTATGATGGCAATGGGTTTAATTTTTAAAAGCCGTATGTGACTAGAAGCTACTTTACTAGCTCGTACAGACATAGGGTGAAGGACACAGAAGTAATTCAGGTGAGGGTGGAGGGGGTGGCGGTCAAAGGTCACTCGGCTGTGGCCTCAGCCACAAGGAAAAAGGCAACCAGCCTCTGCACACGCCCTGCACTCCCACCCGCACAGCCAGGGACAGGCTCCGCGCCTGCAGCCAGGTCAGCTGTGGCCGAGGACTCGCTTTAAAGAAAAAGCACAGCCCTCGAGCCAAAGAGCCTGCGTGAGCCGCTGATGGATGTGGCAGAGGGAGGCAGCGTGTCTTCAGCGAGGACACTTGGGGAAATGGAGTCGCATGGAGCTCCAAGCAGTCAGCATGGCAGCGCCGCCCAGCTGCGAATCAGGGTCTCCTTCTGGGCGGCGCACAAGCTGAGCACCTGGGGCACACGCTGGGACATTGTGAAGAAGTGACACTTGTTCCCGAGGCAGCACTGGCTCACTAAGCTCTTTATAACATCACAGTGGTCGGTGCCCGAATTAACACAGAGGCGGCCGTGCGATTGCTTCCGCTGCCGTTCCCATCGCCGGGCGCTCATAAGCACCTACTGTGCAGCAGGCAGTTCGCCAGAGCCCTCAAATACCACCTCACTGTCCAGATAACATTCTGCAAGTCAGCCATTATTTTTTCACTTTGTGGTGAGGCACTTAAAGAGGTAGGGAAGTTAATAATTTATGTGACTTCAACTAGTGGTGACAGAACAAGGATTCAAACTCGGGTCTACACTGCCTTAGTTTCTTCTTTTCTTTTAAAGGCTGCATAGTATTCTACTTATATTCTACTTGTGTATTTAGCAAATCCCTCGTTTATTTTCTGTTTTTCCAAATGCTTCAATGAACCAACTTGTACATAAATTTTAAGTATACTTTTAGTAGTGCATAATAGACATACATACATATGAAAAGGTATATAACCCCCAAGTGTAGCATTTGATAAATGATAAAAAAGCAGACATCACCGTGCAATCACACAGAACCATGCCGGCACCTTGAAGGCCGCTGTGCCGCCCGCCCCGCAGCTACCCATCAGCCTTCTCGCTGACAGCGGGGGCCCGTGAGGGCCTGCCACTCAGCAGGAGTCACACACGCTGAGAAGACAGGAGTTACAAACTGGGCGTTCAATCCAGGCCACGCCTTCAAACAGCACTGGGTCACTACGTCAGGAGACAACTAACGTTCATCTCCCCTAATCAGAAGTCAGTGTTTTATTGGACGTAAGGAATGAGAGAGGGGTGCCAGGGAACCGGTGTGAGAAGTGTGAACAGGAAGATCACAGGGCGTCACAGGCCTCGGGGCTCCCAAGGCCAGAGACCAGGCTTCCGGTGCAGGAGGCGGGATTCCCAGCCCGCAAAGGAGAGCAGGACCACAAGCAGCCGAGGGCTGCCTTGTCCCATATTCCTTCCAGCACTCTAACCTCATGATGACTATGAAGATAGCATAAATAAGACATAGAACTTATATGCAATAGAAGTGCATGGCAGTTACGGCACTCCCAGGAGGTGGCAGGCTCTGCAGACAGGAGCTCATTAAGTCCCTTCAACAACCGTGTAATAATGCCGCGATCCCCGTTTTACTGGGAGAAAACAGGCGTTCCAAAAGCGAAGTGACCGCATGGGGCAGGGCGAGGATGCCAACCGCCCAGTGCCCCCTTCAAGCCGGTGCCCTTCCCATCAGACCCTGCGGCCCTCCCCTCAGGCTCTGTTAGAGCACGGAGAAGTGATTTCGTAGGAGACCCTGCCCTCTGGCCATGCAAGCTGGCACCGAAGTGATGACAAGGGTGTGAGGGAAGAGACCTGGAATCTCATTTTCTGTTCCTATTCTTTCCTTCCCCGAGGCGCTGGAGCCTGCATTTCCCTGGTCCCCGCAGCTCATCTTAATTTGGTTTTCTTCTGACTGACAACACACTTTTCTCTTCAAGGCGACAGTCACGGGCCCAAAGTGGAAACAACTGGTGACACAGCTCACCTGGCATGCCCTCGGCCACAAGGCTCGAGTAGCCAGAAGTGCATCCAGGGCTCCTTTTAACCCTACCCCTACCCCTCTCTGACTTTGACTGATTTTCCTCCCATCCAAGCACTAACCAGGCCCGAGCCTGCTTAGCTTCCAAGATAGATGCATTCGGGCTCGTGCGGCTTTCAGTGATTTTCCAATGTGGAAGGTATACTCCGGAGAGAAAAGATCCCCCTGTGTAATTGAGGCCACTGGTTTATAGATTGTGACACAGAGATTTTTAAAGATCTCCTATGTCACCTGTGGCAAAATTACCTATCATTTCACTAAGTATTGAACACATGTTTTATTAGAGTTGACAGTCAGTATTCTCTTGCTTTCAGGCATACAGTAGGGTGGTCAAGACCTTTATGTAACTTTTTAAGTGATCCACCATCTACGAAGTTTTTACACGTATAATATAAACCCACTGCGATGCATGTTTTTCCTTTTACTTTGGAAACGGTAGCAGGGTTGGACTGAGGAAAAAAAAGAGAGAGAGAGAGAGAGAGAGAAAAACTGCACTTCTTTAACCTCCTGCTTTTTCCATTTGGATCGAGGCTTCTGTAACCTCAGCATCTTACAAACAGGGCAAACGGCAGCCATTGCCTGAAACCAAGCTCTTCGCTTTGACGAGGACTGACCTTGACCAGAGTTGTAGATGGCTTTCACAGACTTCTTCACCTTCTGCAAAGCTGTTCTATCTTGGTCTAGCGCCTGAGAGAGAAAACACAGGGGGGAAAAGATGTTGAAACACTTGGCGAGTTCAAAAACAAAACCTCATTCGTAACGACATTTGTTTTGCCGAGTGCCATAGCAACCGCGAGCTGACATATTTATTAACAGTGAAGCATTTTAAACGCACGGTCCTTCCGCAAAGATCGGGGTCGAGGGCCGTGGATACTGTGGCTGCCGGTTGGTTATCGTTCTGAGCGGTGCAAACACCAGGCACCTGAGACACCATAGCCCCCGCCTGCCTCAGCCGGAAGGGAGAGAGGCAAGCTTCACCAAGGAATGGCACGGACCCGGGAAGAAAACACACCTTATCACCTGTGGCCACTTCAGCCAGAAAGAAAATACTCAGGGAGTGTTAACAAGAGGGCCCGAGAGCTTTCACAGCACTTTAAACTGGAGGATCGCTTTTAGTGCTAAAAAAAAGTTTAAGACACAGTACCCGTATGGTTTTAAAATTCTGTTTACTAAAAAAGCACAGCATGGAGAATGCCTCGAAGTGCTTCTCCCAGTCCACCGCGCGGGGAGATGAGGAAGCAGAGGCTTTCTTAAGAAGCCTGACTTGCCCAGTGTGGCGGAGCCGGGACTGACCCTGAACCCCATCTAGCCACAACCTGGTCCTGCGTGCGAATGGCATCTGGAACGCAGAGGCACCAGGGGGGTCTTGTCAGAGGGGGGACTACCACCAGCTTAAAGAGGCGAGTCCAGGTTAGAAAATGACAAGATGTGCGGGTTGCAGGAGTGTGTGAGGGAAAGAAAGAAAGAAATGCAAATGTGCAAATGCACTAAGCGATGGCAAGGTCATTTAAGAAGCAACCCTAGACCGGCCAGTGTGGCTCGGTGGTTGAGCGTCAACCTACAAACCAGGAGATCACAGTTCAATTCATGGTCAGAGCATATGCTTGGGTTGCAGGCTCGATCCCCAGTGTGGGGCGTGCAGGAGGCAGCCGATGGATGATTCTCATCACTGATGTTTCTATTTCTCTCTCCCTCTCCCTTCCTCTCTGAAATAAACAAAATCAGTTAAAAAAAAATAACCCTAGTGGTCACCATTTATTTTTTATAGACGTGTTATTGCCACCATTTAAATTTTTTTTTTTTTTTTTTTTTTTTTTTTTTTTTTTAAATGAAAGCCCGGGTCTTAAAGAAGTGAAGCAGCCTGTCCTGGGTCACACACCAAGTCAGAGAATCAGTGCCCGCCCCTCCCTGTGATGTCCACCAGGGCACCAATGCGTTCCAGAAGCCACGCCTACGTGTCCCCTGGCGCTGACCACCCCTCAGCTCCTCCTGAGAGAGGAAGCAAGGTCTGCTCGGGGAGAGAATGACCCGTCAGTCCAGCTCCTGGGAGTGAGGCCCCAGGGGGTGGGTCCAAGGGGAGCTCACGGGTGGGCACCGATGCCCATGCACACCTAGCGCTCCCGGCTCCACATGAGCCGAGGGCTGTGGGAGATTTCAGCCGTGACCTTCTAGGAGCCCAGCTCTCTGCTGCCCTGCTATTTCCCCCAGGAAAAGCCTTGGCATCTAGGTTGAATTTTTACCAACTCATTTATGAACTAATAGGGTGTCAAGTTCACACCATTTTTTATTTATTTATTTTTTTATTTTTTTTGGTAAGGGATAGTGGAAGAGAGAGAGGGAAAGACAGAGAGAAACATCAATGTGAGAGAAATACATGAATTGGTTGGCTCCTGCATGCAACCCAACCAGGGCCCGGACTGGGGAGAAGCCTGCAACCAAGGTACCTTCCCTCGACTGGAATCAAACCAGTGACCCTTTGGTCCTCAGACCAATGCTCTATCCACTGAGCCAAACCGGCTAGGGCCACACTCGCTGTTAGAAGTTATTAAAAGCATCGGAGTTTGACAGCTCCATCACAGTTAAGTGCGGGTGACAGGCTCTTTCACACTCTGGTGTTTGGCCCCCGGCAGAAGCAGCCAAGGAGAAGGCACTGGTAAGGGCGGCAGGTTTGAGAGTGCCCGGGGACACTGTCACTTAGTCACTGCGACGCCCTCCTGCCTCCAGAAACAACACGCCTAAATGTGCACCCAAGCGCCACTCCCTCCACTGCCCGCAGGGCCAGCCTGTCACCTTCAATAGCAGCTGAGAAGTGGTGGAGAAAGGGGCTGTGACATTATCAGATCTCCCAGCCCAGCCCAGGTATGTCACCCTGCCAGCATTGCTAAGTGAGATCTGAAGGCAAAGAACTCAAAAGGGAGGGAGGGAGGGAGGGAGGAAGGGAGAGAAAGAGAGAGAGAGGAAAAAACAACTAATCTCCAGAAGAATATGCTGAGCTCTAATAACAGAAAAACAGTATCCCTATCTATCTACCTACCTATTTATTTATTATTTATAAATAAATATATTTCATTGATTTTTTTACATGCTACCTTGTGACTGGAGCGGTTAGGTGCCTAATTCACAGTCTCTAAGCGGGAGACAGAGACAAGTTCTCCCACCGCCTCACAGCCAAGTCAGTAAATTATTTACCTGCTGTAAGGCGCACAGATGACAGCGTCTAAGCATACAATTATAATGTAAACCAGAAAGGAGTCCAGAGAACAACCCAATGTGGTAAGGAAGAGCACCGTGAGTCAAGGTGCCAGGGGAGAGAATGACAGGGAAATAGGACCGCGACCTCAACCAGCAGGAGAGGGGGGCTCGGGCTGACCATGCAGGTACTTGCTCTGAGGACCAGCACACTTGGCTTCTGTATCATTCACCTGCGTGTTCCTATGAGTAGCCGTGCCAGGCATGTACAGAACACGGCCCTGCCAGGCACCGGCCTATGTGTGCACACCACACACCGCCTCTGCCTCTGCCTCTGCCTCTGCCTCCCCAGCCTCATGGCCCCCATCCGCCAGCTGCAGCAAAACAACAACAAACCGCCACTAGAATCCTAAGCGGGAGACCTGTGCTGCCCTTGATAAGATCGATGAAAGGAGAAGTTACTCATAAAATATTAATCCTTGCTAGCCCGGGGCTTTATCCGCACTTGCCGTATCTTTTAGGTCTGCGCAGCTCTGTCTCTTCCCCCTTCAATAAGCTAGACGCTCTCAAAGGATTAACACTGTGTGTTTCTTTCTTTGCATAGAAGATGCTCAGTAAGAATTTGCTGAATTCAATGAAAGGAACACACACACACACGAGGAAAAAAGGGTGAATGGGTTCATTGTTACTGGAATAAAATCCAGGTCCTCGCTGCTGCTTGCCAGGCCCCCTGGGGTCCAGCCGGCTGCCCTCTGCCCTCTGTTCCCACACTCTCCAGCACTCAAGTCTAATGCACACCCACAGTTTTTCTGAACCCATCCAGCGTGGCCCCGCCTCGGAGCTTTTGCAATTGCTGGCCTTTCTCTGAAATCCTCTTCTCAAAACCCCCCACTTCTAAAGAGGTCCGGCCTGCTCCTTCTTGCTCTCTCTATTTTCTCAGGGTTCAGTTCAATGCTGAGAGCAGAGCCCCTGTCAATTTGCAGAGCTGCAGTGGGCACGGGGTGCTGGGAAGCGACCCGGGGGACATTGTGCCACCCAGAATGCCCGGATGTTCGGTCTCCAGGGGGCAGCAGGGCGAGCTGCAGGCAGGCGGCAGCGGCAGCTCCAGGGAAAGGAAGTGAAGATGCTACCGCTAGTTAATTTCAAGATGAATGTGAACCCAAGGCGGCCGCTACACAAGGGGAAATGATCACCTAAAGTTTATTTATTTGCATAATGAAACCAAAAATGGAAAGTTAACGCGTCCCCCACAAAGACGGGTTTTAAGCCGGTTGAGCTATTTCAGACTACAAAGGGGCCTGAAGACTCAGGGTCTCCTGTGCCCACGCAGGTTCAATCAGGAACATCTCCACTCCCTCTGGCTGTGTGTTTGCACGGGGTGGAATCGACCCAAAGACAGCGAAGGTCTGCAGAGGCTTAATGACTGCGGTTTGGGCCCCTTAGAGAACTTGCTTCCCAGCAAAGATTCCGTGTGGCACCTTCAGAAACACATCTCGAACTTTCTGAGGAAAGAGTCCCTCCAGGCATGAAAACACCGCCCACCTATCCAACTCCCCAAAGCAAGGAAAGGCACCCCAGAAAACGGTAATCCACAGGCACTGCCGGGGGGTGTGCACACATCTGGAGGCAGGAACCACGCCAGGCCCGGAGCAGGGGCGCAGTCACATCAGGCAAATGGATCTGGCCCACAGAAGGTCACTCAAGTGTTTAGAACCTGCCGAGGACGGTGAGGGGTGGAGGGGAGCACCCACAGATCGAGCGGATCGGGTCACAAATACCTCCTGCACCCACACGCCAAGGCCACACTTGCTGCGGAGGTACCCGGTGAAGACAAGACACTTTCCTTCTTCAACGTGGGAGGCGGAAACCAAGCAAGGACACGCGGACATTGCTGAGAAGAGAGATGCCTGGTGTTCAGAAGCACATGGCCACGTGGGAGATAGAGACGGGCAGAGGCCAGGTCACGCTGAGGGGAGAGGCCGTGGACAGGAGTTTGTTTTACTCTGAAGCCAATGGTTAGCAAACACAGAGCCTCCGGGCATCTGGAAGAACGAGGAGACTCGTCCTGACCCACCTTCAAAACAGTGGCTCTGCTGATGTGCTGGGAACGGGAGGCAAAGGAGCAGGCTGGAAAGGGAAGAGCCCACAAGCTGGGTATTTCCCAAATAGAACTGCTCTAAAGAATGTCTCTGTGGCTCAACCCACTTCCTCCCCCCGGACCGCACCGCACACTTCAGGCTCCCTCCAAAAACACGCCTGCCCCTCCACACCCAGGCGGCACTCAGAGGATGGATCAGGAAGCCTGGCCGGACCTGAGGCCACGTTCCGCTTGCTTAACCCTCTGTACCCAACAAGCCACCAATCGGCCAGTTCTCCCTCCCGGCACAGTGAGGCCATCACAGCACCTCTGCCTGCTGGACCTGACGCTGCCCAGCCAGAGCCTGGCTTCCCCACCGGGCTGTTCCATGTTCGCCCTCCACACCCTGCCAGAGGAGCCT